TTTTATAGGGTTTCACATGTACCATCAATGCAATTTAATGCTTATTGGCAGAATTGGGGAATTCTAAACAGCCAATGTGGAGAGAAAGTTTCTGGCTAGTGGGTCACTGACAATGATGTGATTATAATGGACATTTTGGGATTAATAAAGCTTTGAAAGAGTGATTCTTTGTTTGTTATCTTAAACTTTCCAAAGCCAAAAGTAATAAACTGAAAAGACATTCAAACTTTCATTCTCTGTAAAAGATGTGGCTTCTACAAATTGAGTGTCTTCTGGGGTTGTGTTTGTTGGATGCATATGTTTGCTAAGAAAATAGTGTGGTTTGGAGAATTTTTTAACCTTATTTAGATAAGACTTATTTAGTGAAGAATAAATTCAAGAATTGCATTTTTGTAACAAACACACACACAGAGGCCAGTAATTGGTGGCATGTGTGAAAACAGTAGTGCTAGATTTATATTTACAGCACACTTTTCAATAAAAATATTTATTATGAGAGACATTTTCCTATGTCACTTGCAATTTTTCAGGACCACTGGCAAAATTTAGTACAAGGTGAAGATCACTTTTCCAGAAACGACAAAAAATACGTGCATAGTCATGATTTTACGATGACCTATCCTATGTGGACGATTCATAATTTCTTCAGCGTGAGGTGAGGGGGCTGTTTATCACTAGAAATAGAAATGAACTAAAGGCAGCTCAGGCAGAGATTCTGTATTTTCATTCTTTTTAAAAGATGTGATTTCACGAGCTGTGAACCTATATCCCTAAACCACTTACAGTGTAAACCAATGTTACCTCAATAAAAAAATACGTTTTATACATATGTGATGAAATAGAGGACAATTGTACATCATAAAACCCATACTAAAAAGGATTTCAAACATACACTAATTTTAACAGCATATTTAATGCTTAATATAATTGAGCTCATTATAGCAATCCAGTTTCCACAGCTCTCCTTTTAACACAAAACCAAAAATGGCACCACTTATTCCACAGAACTTGCTCGCGCTATAGTGAAATTTCTATGTATCTGTCAAGCTGTCTTCCCTCACTGGAGAGCCTGTCAGAAATAATCATTTCATGATCTCACATTCACAAAGGTGCAAAGCCCAGATATGCTTGCCTTTTGAACGTCAAAAATCGTGCCGACACAAGCCTCTTCATCAAGGACTGTGGACACCAACCCCCTGCTCCCAACGTTTTTGTTCTGTGTTTTATTCAAGAGAAGGTCCTGCCACTTAGATTATGCGCAAGTTTTCAGAAATGTAGCCAGAATAATTTATTGCTTTACTGTGATGTTAGATAAGAAATTCTTCTACTATATCACTGGATATTTTGTAAATATTTAGAATTCCTAATCTAATGTTATTGATAGTTTCACTTAAAAAGGTCAACACTCTCAAGCTCCTTGTTTAAACAAGAAACCTGTCATCTCACTGCATGTCGGAAAAGAAGGAAATGACAATAATACTCCTATGCTTCAATAAGAAAGCCCAGAACATGCATACACCGGAGAACGCAGAGCTGTCAGTCTACATATTATTATAGACAATACATAATTAAATAAATCATTCGAATTAATGACACAGATCTCAGGGATTAAATACCATTCCACAGTTTCCAGAGCCTAGGGGTCCTACAAAGCTCTTTTATTAGAAATTGTATTTGCAAGAAAGTTTAGATTATGTAGAATAGCATCTGCTTTTCTGCAGCTGTAAGGAAAGTAGTATATATATTTCTGTATTTCCTTCCTCATCTTCACGATCTGTATTCCCCAACATTTAGTAGGTTTCAGCGCCAAGACAAAATGCTGTGATTCTGTTTGTTGGAGTAATGGACATGATAGCATAGTTTCTAGCTGCACAAGATAATTCCCACCATTTCTTCTTCCAAGAAATACTGATAAAATTTCCAGTGGTGCAACATTCAAATCAGTATGAGAAGGACATGATTTCACTGAGAAAAATTCCAATTTCTATGCTAATTTCACAAGATTGCACAACAGATGTTCATTTAGGATATAGCCTTAATGGGAATTATAAAGAGACCTACCAGCAGATTTTACCTCTGCTGTTGACTCATAAAGTATTTGTTAAAAATATGAACCAGGTGTTCTTGTAAGGCTGGGATATGAAACTGGAACGTGAGAGTAGGGCCAGAGCTCACCTTTCCCTCTCCTTCCTGCCTCCCTCACGCTCTCCTTCCTGCCCTTCTTTCTTGCTTTCTTTCTGAAATCTCCTTACTTCTAACCCATGCAGTGAACAAATAGCTAGATAGCTGGAAGTAAAGGAAAAAGTCAGAAAAGGTTTTATTTGTAGAACTAAGGACTAGTTCACTCCCTAGGTAAGTCCAGCTAGTGATCAGCATGCCCGAATTCCAATTCAGACTCCATTCCTGGTTAACTCTGCAAATTTAAATAAATTACTCAGCCTCCACTAAATAGGATTTTCCTTATCATTAACACAAGAACTGTATCGATATCCCTGCTCTGGGGAGAGGATTAACAGATCAGCAGGGTGCAATATTTAGAAGAGTGTGTGATAAGGTATTTCTCTTTTCTAAGGTTGTTATTCTGTGTTTACTGTCATTGAGTTGATCACAGTTATTATTATAATGTTAATGTTGGCACTGAAACTCACACTCAGTGAGTTCCAGTGGAAAAATAATGATTCCTGGCACATTCATAACTCTGCAACAAAAAGTATAAAATTAGTGATACAATGCCACCCAGCAGCGAGGCAAGAGTGACTTGTCCTGGTTGGAGTAAGTTGTGACACGCTGCTTATTTCATGTGAAAACCAAGAGCAGACAAACAAAAACAAGAGCAAGCCAGTCACACAACTTCTTTCCTTGCTCACTTGGTGGTTTTCCAATGAGAGGACACACAGGTGGACCCACACTTCCTTCTGATTCTGAGTTACTACCCAAACATTTCCATGCTGAAAGAAATGTTTCATTGGCACATAACACCTCAAAGGTGTGAAGGCCTTTGGGCAAAAAATAATAGCAGATTGTTTGTTAGAGTAAATAATAAAAAGGGCTATATATAGAATTTAATACATTTTAAATGGATATTCTCTTTTTTGTAGTTTTTGTTCTGAAGCCAATAAAATCTTAATGTGGGTCTTTGTTTTTATTACTTACTACTTATTCCTTCTATCTATATTCGAACTCCAATATTCTGTCACCTCCCACTTACAAGTGTCAATCCTCCACCCCTTCATTGATTTACTATTCATCCTTACGGCTCACCTCTTTCCAAATATGTTTTAATACTACTTTAGAAGGCAGATCAAAATGATAAGATCTTAAACAAAAGGTTATCTATATTGAATTGTCAAAGATAGAAATAATGCACAATACAGAGCACGGAGAGGTGTTCTGTACAGGTTGAAAATTTGAAGAATGTTAATGAAGAAAATGTAAAAGTGTACGGAATTTCCTGTCTCGATATATATGTAAGGACAAGAGAGAGAAATAAGTTAAACAGTAATAATTTAAAATATAACGATAGCTGAACAGAAGGGATTCCTCTTCCTTCATCTGCGTGTTTCCTTTCACGGATAATGACTTCACCTGTATCTACTCTTCACACAGCTGCTAAAGCTTCCTTTCAACTATGCACTTCTGAGTCATTGGCACAGAAGCTTCATACTTGGGAATTATATGATTTCTTCAAATGTTTTCCAGAATATCTGTAGTGAATTTTGTGCCACCCAAATCTGTTCTACTGTCCACACTGCCCCTACCCACCCCCAACCCCCGCCGCCTTGGAAGCCCTGCACTCGCACAGACTAAGTTGCTTATTGTTGCTCTAAATCATCCCATGCCTTGTTCAGTTCTTTTTCCTCATTCAAGAAATCTCTTGCCTTCTGCCTATGAAACATGATGCCAGTTTTTAAGAATCATGTCAAACTCATGAACTTACATACAACATCTCTTAATACTGACCCTACCTTTAATCAGCATGGAATTCCACTAATCCTACCCAGCATGGAACTTCCCCTTTATCACCACTATTTCTTATTTCCCAATACTCATCAGCACGCCTGTTCGGTTTTTCTTTCTCTCACATTCTTATCACTGGCTCATGGTAAGCTCACTCTGGGGGTACTCTACTTCCCATACCCCAGGCATTTTCAGGGTAGGGGCGGCAATTATTTATAAAATAATAAAATAATAGTAGAAACTATTATTCATAATATCTTGAATAACGTAGAGAAAAAAAAAAGTAGTTAAAGAATTTGCTTAAAGGCTGGCATTTAACTGATGTTCCCAATTTGCCACATGAAGAATCATAAAGGTATTCTGACATCTATCCACAAAAATCTGAGCTCTTTTGTCCTTCAATACTGGGACCCTGACGTGAAGCTTACAGGGAAAGCTGTGTGCATTCTTGCTGTCTTATGAGCGTTGCCTATTCATAGTCTGCATATCCTAAGTGATACCTAGCGGAACTCCATTGTATATTTCACACTTCCCACTTAGCCAGAGCTATATTCAATGAATCCCATTTAACATGCCTGGTTTTATTATCGGTCATCAAAAATTCTAACTATATCAACTCCTTGCTTAAAATATGTAATTGTTCACCTTGACACCAGAACTAAAATCATAAATCCCCTGAGGGGTGCATTTACCAGATACAATTCATAACACTCCAGATTCATGCATTTGCCTTCTTGCAGGTGGGACAATAAAAGCAGAGGCTTCTGCTGTTCAGAGTCCTTGTTGCTGCCGCTGTGGGGGAGCCAGGATGCTTTTCCTGTTGTGCAAACAGACACACTGACTAGGCTCATAGGGGCTGGAGCTGGGAGAGAGGGGGTTTCACTGCTTCTGGTGACAAATGTGGAGAAATCGGGGAGCCTTTGATTGATGGGAGAGGACTTTGATTGATGTGAGACTGAGCAGCTGCGGGCGCCAGCTGCTGGATCGTGCCCTGGACCGCGTGTGCCGGGCGCTACGTCACCGTTTTGACGGTTTGAGTCAGCAGGGCCTGACGGCCATAAAAGCAGCCAGTAGAGGCCGTTGTCCAAGAAGAGCAGCTTGGGGTGCAGAGAGGGGAGGTCCCCAAACCTCAAAGGCGTGTGGGCGGAAGGTAAGGAGCATTGGCTGGAATGACGTCAGGCCCTCATTCCCCCCCCTGACTGAAGGACTTTCTCGGTGGTGCTGAGAGTGGGTTGTCCGGGAGCCTGCCCGTGTGGCTGGCTTCGTCACTGAGCAGGGCCTGGGGCCGTGGGGGAGGCGTCCAGGTTCAGGGATTTCGTTTCTGATGCTTTATCGATGTCCCTTGAACACAGGCAGCGACACCTGCTACAGATCACACGCCGGGCATTGATCCTGCAACGCTAACTTGTTGCTTGTCACTGGCTGTCCCAGCAGGCGGGTTACTTGAGGGCTTGTCAATACAAAGCTCCAAAGTACATACATACCTTCATTTTCTACCTTTATCCTGTGCACTTATCATTCACAGTCTGTTTAACTTCACTGAGGATTAGCGTGAAAGGGACCGAGCGCACCCTAACACTCCCTTACTTGCCAGAATTCATCCTAAGGAAAAGATTTTCTCAAAATCCAGTCTCCCTCACTGAAGCTGGAAAGTTCATTTGCAAATTCTCTCACTGACATCGATACCATAAAAAAGCAAACGGATTGCATGATGTGGTAAAATGGAGCATTCAAGAGAAATAGTAGTGGGGCCATTGATATAAAAAGATTGAACTCGAAGTTTCCTCTGACTCTAAATTATTCCTGAACATGGATGTGTTCCTGTGCACTAATACCTATTATTTTTCTTTTCTGAAAGAAATTCATAAAAGGTTTACATCGTTGCCATCAAAGATGCAGACAATAGATACAAATATACTGGAATGAATTCCTTTGTTAATTAGGATGCCTGGAATCTTCCATGCTTAAATTTCTTCATCTGTCAACGGGGATGTTAACTCACTAACCTTATTTGATCGTTTTAATATATAAATACTTTGGTATACAACTGAATACTTAATATATTAATTGACAGTGACATGCATAGACAAGCATTGGTTTTTCATATCTCTAATTTTAGATGTTTAATTTGTTTAAATTTTTACATATTTTAAAAACTATTCTTATCAAATTATTGACAGAAATAAATTATCATTATAAAATAAAAAATAACAGAAATATAAGCCCCAACATATAAAGGTGCATTTGTCTAAGATAAAAATCACCAATAGCCTATGAAAGATAGTATGTATATTGATCAGCACATTAGATATTCTTCTAATAGACAATTACTTTCTTTAAGAATAGGATTGTCTCTGAAATATATATACTACCTGCAAGTATTTGAATTAAAGGAGCTTGGGAAATATTGCAGCATATATTTAAACTCATCCAAATAATGAGTCAGAGTGAAAGATAAGAATGTAAAATGAACCAATTTATGAGCAAGTTAAGTATATATATCTGCATTAAGATATTTCTCCATAGTCTCAAAAGACTAAAAACAATCTAAATGATAATTGCCTCTATGCACGGTCCTAAAGAAAAATGGGTAGGTGGAAAGGGAAATCAATATTCTTTGGAGAAAATATTATTTGGCTATTTAGAATGCTCTGTTGGAATCTAGGGTGTTCCATTTGCAATGCTGATGATTTTTCTCTCATTTCTTCTGATGCGATGTACCCAGATTCTTCTTTGTAAACCATTATTAAAATTTGGTAGAATGAATCACACTATTTAAGGGACTTTCAGCAGTTTTTGTGGAGAATCAGCACGATCATCTTTTGCTTCAATAGCTGTGAAACTGTGTCCACTGTCCCGTCATCTCCTTTCCTGGTGGTGAGCTCTGTCATGTGTCATACAAGGCTTGTGTTCTTGGCACTGTATCAAGTAAGGAGACTTCTTAATGATGGGAAATTCTTTACTTCTTACAAGTATGATGAAATATATTTCTTTCTAGCTTACTAGGGAGTTAAAAAAATCTGGTACAGTATTATGACTTCTAAAAGTTCACTTTTGGAACTTTTTAAAAAATTATATTTATCTTATGTAAATTAACATTGACATTACACAACAGAGTGCTTTGTGAAAAATTTTATTTTATTTTTTTTAAGATTTATCATTTGGAAACAAAGGTAAAATTTTGACAGAATACTTTTATGTCAGCAAGAAACCATGCAGTGGAAAATCATCTTCAAAGTACTGCAAATAAAACAAAAACAAAGAGACGTCTAGCCAGATTTTTGTGCCCAGGTTTCACAGATGAACCAGAAATGAGAGAATCCTCTATCAGCAGAGTGACAGGGGAAAAAAGATGCCAGTTTTTCAGATGAAAAGGAGAACTATACCAAGAGAAATTACAAATTTATAGCAAGGACTGGAGAGCGCTGGGAGCAGGGTAAATAATGAATGAAGATAATATAAAATTAGTTTTCTTTTTTATATTTAATTGTCTAAAGCAAAACTGCCACAACGTGGTGAATGTTCCCAGCATATGTAACAATGAAATACATGACAACAGTGACACGGGAGAAGGGAAGGAGGGAACGAGACTATCTTGTTGCAAATTCCAGACAGGGTGCACGAAGCAGTATGTGACCACGGCTAATTAAAGAGGAATATTGAAAACCTCAGGGCAATCACGAAAAACATAAAAGTGGAGATAAGATAAAATAAAATAAAATAATTAAAGCCCCAATCAGCACCAGAGAATCCAGAAAAATGAAAGAACAAAAGGCACTAATAGAGAAGAGCCCATAAAATGGCAGATTTGAATCCAGACACACCGATGACCAAACTAAATGTAAATGACTTAAATGACGCACCACGACAGAGAGACAGAGACTGTGGACGGGACAGGAATTTATGAACTCACCAGTGGGACGTGCTCTTCCAGCAGAGGGTGTTGCCCGAGGGCAAGCTGGAGCACCTACGTGAGGGTCAAGCATTTTGGAGCAGGGGTTATTATTTGAAACGAAGCGAGATGCTACATAGCAAAAGGGTCCATTTCCTCAAAGATAAAACCATGTAAAATGTGTATGTTTTTAGCAACAGAGCTTGAAATACATTAAAAAATGATAACATTGCGAGTAGGCAAATACAAAATTGCAGCTAAAAGCTTCAAGACTTTCTTTAATTGCTGATGAATTAGAAAGTGAATGAGAATGTAGAGCACCCAAACAAAGCTAGCTGCCAGTTTGGCCTTGCTAGTATGTCTGCGTCGCCCTCGCTCACAACATCCAATTTACTTTTCACACACACACACACACACACACACACACACACACACGAGAAATATTCCCTACGACAAACCATGTACTGCTACAAAGCAAGTTAAAAATTAGAAACCATATACAATTTTTCTTCTCATAAGATTACACCGGATACAGAGGAGAGGAAGCAATCCACAGTGAAAATTTCACAGGAGTGTAGAATCCAATGTTTGGTTTGGACGGTTCTCACTTGTGAGGTGGGCTCTCCTGCGGCTCTGATCTCCGTCTCCCTGACTACTGACTATAACCGACGAGTAGCCTCCCTCCCCACGCTGCTGGCCAGCTCTATGTTTTCTTTTTCTTTTTTTTTTTTTAAGTGTTAGTTCTTTTTTTTTTTTTTAAGATTTATTTATTTATACAAGCACTGGGTACAGTCAGAAGTGTGGGAGGGTGAGAGAATTCACCAGAGCCAGAGCGGGGAGCAGAGCAGGCAGACTGACTGAAGTACACTGCTGAGGGGAGCAGCAGGCGGCAGGAGAGGTCTGTTGCGCCATGTGGGACCCTCGCCGGAGGCCGGGGATCGAACTGGCACTGCAGAGGCTGCGGGCAGCTTCGCAGCCCAGCGCTCAACCGCTGAGCCACCAGGGGAGGCCCCCAGCTGTATGTTTTCTTTGGAGACGTCCCTGTTTATCTCTTCTGCTCATTTTCGGGGGTGGATTATTTTTTGTTTGTGGAGTTGTAGTCGTCTTGGTTGATCCTGGGTAGCAGCCTCTTGTCAGATGTGTGGTGTGCAAATATTTTCATATCAAGGCAAAATTTAATTGAGCTCACACACTTTCTAACGGTCCCCTTTCATCCACTGCCTTCTTTATCTTACTGCAGAGGCTTTGCTTTCCAAGGGGAGCTGTAAAGTGTTGCCTTCTTGCTTATTTATTAACTTAGAAATTTATCTCCTCACAAGGTCTCGCTGCTCATCTCTGGCACAGTTGTTCTGGGCCAGTGCCCTCTCTGGCGTCACCCATGGAGAGGACGGTGTATGCCTGTTTACACAGAGCACACTCAGCAGAGTGATGGGCGTGCGGCCGCTCCCCAGCAGCACCGTTAAGTACCAAGCCTGTCTGCAGACAGTTAGGGGGCGACCTTTTCGACCTTATGAGTACACATCCTCATATTGACTACTGGTTCATCTTTCCCATGATGTTAGTCTCACATATTCCAAGTGCATTGGTCAGGTTTTTAATAAATTCTACTGATCTGCCACATTAATATGCTACTCTTTGCCTAAATTTACAATATTGAGGGAATAGATTATGTTGAGATCAATTCTGGTGGAGGTTGAACATGCAACTGCTTTCAAGTAGAAAATAAATAAAATGGGGCGGGAGAGTCTCAGTTTCTCACACATGGCTCCTGAGAGCTGCAGAGCCTTGTATGTGACCTCCCCGGGTGCCTGTGTGTTGTGTGTATGGTATGTGGCATGTTTGATGTGTGTGGTGTGTGGTATGTGTGTGGTATGGGTGTATGCATGTGGTGTGGTATGTGTGTGATATGTGTGGAATGTGTGTGATATGTGTGGAATGTGTGTGTAGTATGGTGTAGTATGTGTGTGGTGTGTGGTGTATGTGTGTGTGTGTGTGTGAGATGTGTGGTATGTGTGTGTGGTGTGTGGTTTCTGTGCTGTGTCGTGTGTGTGGTGTGGTGTGAAATGTTCCAAACACCTACATAAAAGTCTTGGTTGTCAAGAGCCTGTTTTTAGGAAAGAAGTGTTACGTGAATAAGGTCATATTAAGGGTTCATTTTCTTTTTTGAATCGTCGGATTTAAAACCTGATAAGGGAAGAGGATGGAGCCAATCAAAGCCACATCCACAATGTGGGCCGGCAGAGAAGGCCTCCTTCTCC